GGAGCGGGGTCGGCGGGGAAGCGCTGGCGGCGGCAGCGCTGAGGTAGGGCCGGGGGTGGCGGGGGGCTGAGCAGCGGGGCCGGGCAGCAGCGCCTGGCACCCGTGGGTGGGTGCCCCGGTGCCTTCGTCCCCCTTAAGCCCGGGCTAAGGTGCCCTGCACCCCCTGCCCTTGCACCCTTCCTCTACTGCCCTGCACTCCCTCGCCGCACTGTTCTGCACCCCTAGCCATGGTGCCTTGCGCCCCCTGCGCTCCTAACCACAGTGTCCAGCACCCCTCTGATCCAGCACCCCTCTGCCCTTCTGCCCATGCTGCGCCTTCACCCCAGTAACGCAGCTGCTGCAGCCCTAACCATGGTGTCCTGCCTGCCCTCTGCTTCACCCCGTACCCTGCATCCCAGCCGCAGTACCTCTGCACCCCACTGTGCCTCCTGCCTGCACCCCAGCCATGGTACCCTGTACCCCACCTGTGCCCTTTTGTACCCCCAGCCACCGTACCCCTGCAGCCCTCATAGCCTCTCTGCATCCCCTGCTCCCATAGCCCCTTCACCCCTCCTGCTGAACCCCCATATCCCCTAAGCACCCCACATCCTCCTGCTCCTCCAGCCACCCAGCTTCCCTCAAACCTGTCGCTGTAATGTGGTCCCCCAGTACCTCTATCCTCCTTAACACTCAATCCCCCTTCACCATCCCCATTTCCCTGCAGCCCCAGGGCCTTTCCCTGCAGCTCTCCTGCACCCCCTAGCCTGGCAGTAGCCCCCTTTCCCTACCTGCACCCCCTTACACCAGCATCCTGCCTTCCCTGCCTGCATCCCCCAGCATTCCCACAAACCTCTAACCCTTGGATAATCCCAACTACCATGTCTCCCTCCCCAACATACTCTTCTTCCCCTTTATCCTTCTTCATCCTCCCTCACCTAGTTGCCCCCTTTGCCTTGCCTTTCCCTGGATTTCACCCCTTTCCTGGGCATCATAGCCTGTCCTGTCACTGTGTTTGGGGCAGGAACATGTGTTTTGGGGGAAGAATGACAGGCCAGTATTGGGGGCACACCCCATGTGGGGGGGATTTCTCCCATGGTGGCAGAGTCCCAGGAGTCACATGGGGGAGACCTTTGCCCCATCTCCCTTCGGTTTCTGTGACGACCAAGTATGCAGGCGGACTTTGGAGGGACTGGTGGGTGATTAACCATCTTGCAGCTCTTTCCCCAGAGCTTTGCAGCCCTGGTCCCAGACATGGCACCTGGGAAGCCTGGGAAGAGCACGGGAGCCTCAGAGAACCCCTCAGTTACACTTTTCCGGGAGTACCTGAGGATTGACACTGTCCACCCTAAACCTGACTATGGTGAGGATGGGGGGATAGAATGGGGAGCCGTGTGGGGACTGGGTAATGCAGCTTTGCAGCTCCAATCTTTGGACTCAGGTGCCCAAGTGCTGTACTGGGGCTGTTTTGATTGTAGTGTTAAGGAGCAAACTCCTTTGTGCCTTATCTCTGCTGGTGTCTTTGGTTGGGGCAGGGTCATCTCAAGTGCCCTCAGAGCTATTGTTTGCTTTTTCTAGCCCCGTGCCCCTTGCTCCCCTTTCCCTTCCCTGGGAAGGGATGGGTGATCTCCTTCTGTGTAGATCTCCTTCTGTTAACATTTATGTCTTCCTACTAAAGTACATTTTTTTTGGTGAGAAGCTCCCAATGTTGCTTCTCTGGAGGAACATTCCCCCTGAACTCACCCTTACTCAATTTTTATTTTTTTCATATTTCCCAAGTCCTCACCCCAAAGGGATGGTGATGAGCTGCTCCCGTCCCTGTTCATGGCTACTTCTTGTGTCCAGGACCTGCAGCACGTGTTCTCTTTTGTCACCTCTTTCCTTGTTCTGGGAGCCCTGCAAAGCCTTGGGTCCCTGGGGGTTTGCAGTGAGAGACCCCAGTGTAACGGTGGGCATCCCTACTCTTCCCCAGATGCAGCTGTCCAGTTTCTGGAACGTGTCGGCACCGACCTGGGCTTGGCCTGCCAAAAAGTGGAGGTGAGCAAGCCAAGAAGCAGTTTTAGTCTGTCCACCAATCCATCCATCTAGCCACCTGTGCTTGGGTCCTTAGTGACCAAGATGTTCCTCTGCCTGCACTCAGAGCTAGGCAGGAGTGAATCCCCTCTGCCTGTAATCCTCTGCTGACCTGAGCCCTTCCTTAAGCCAGTGGTCCGGCTGCTCCCTGCTGACCTCTGCAGCTGCCTGTGCTATGATTAGCAGGGACCTGGCAGTGTCATGTTGGCTGGGGCCATCCTTCCTGCTGGTGCTGGCTGTCCTGGGAGACTCCTGGGCACCAGGGGAAGATGCTGGGTTTGTCTTTCCTCCTCTGAATTTTCAGCCAGGTTTGGCACCTGCAGGTCTGGCTGTGGGCATTCAGGCAGGTCTGCTCCTGCTACCTGGCCTCTCCCACTGGAGAAAGGGGTGGCATCCAGAAACTTTTTCCAAACTGTTGCTTTTTGGCTTCAGCTTGCTGGTCCAAGCCTTTCTGTCCCCATCCTGCTGGTGACATCCTGCCTTTGTCCCACAGGTGTGCCAGGGCCATGTGGTGCTGATCCTGACCTGGCAGGGCACGAACCCCCGCCTGCGCTCCATCCTTCTCAACTCCCACACTGACGTCGTGCCTGTCTTCGAGGTGCTGAACAGAGCCAGGGGTGGGAAGGACATGGAGAGGAGGACGGGGTGGATGGGAGCTGGTGCCTTCTGTGCCCTTCTGCCATCGTGGACACTCTTCCCTGCAGGAGCACTGGACCTACCCACCTTTCGAGGCAGTTAAAGACTCGCAAGGCAACATCTATGCCCGGGGTGCCCAGGACATGAAGTGCGTCTCCATCCAGTGAGTGAAGGGCTCTGCACCTGCTGGGTGAGCACGGTGCTGCTGGTGTCTCTGAGTGATGCAGGACAGGATGCCACTATCCCCAGGGTCCCTGGGGCCAGAGGTGCCACCTCTGCCCTGAGGTGGCTCAGAGCACACAAGCCCCACTCCTCCACAATGACCGTACACTACCTTCCCTTGCAAGGTACCTTGAGGCCATCCGGAGGCTGAAGACAGAAGGGAAGTCTTTTGCCCGCACCATCCACCTCACCTTTGTGCCTGGTGAGTCCCCAGGTGTCCCCTCTCAGGAGGTACAGAAGGGGCTGGCAGCTGGGTGGTGCTGTGGAGTCTCTCATGGCAGCCAGGCTCCCCCGGTGTTGCCCTCCCCTAGCTCAAGGCCGGAGAGGTTTCCATGTCCAAGGACATCAGGTGTGCTGATGGCATCCAGGCTGGCATGGAGAGAGGACTAGAGGTGGTGGGCTGGGGGATGCCCCAGTTCCTTCCTCCATGCCAGGCTCTCTTCCACAGATGAGGAGGTGGGCGGACACAAGGGCATGGAGATGTTCGTGCAGCGCCCTGAGTTTAAAGCACTCAACGTGGGCTTTGCCATGGATGAGGGTGAGTATTGGTAGGGCTGGCACTGGCATGTGTGTCCTCCTGGCATCACTCCCCAGGCACCAGCATCCCATATGCTTCCAGGGACCCCCTTTGGGATCCTTCCCCTGGGCAGTGGGGAGTGCCAGTCTGGAGGAAAATGCTGCTAGGACAGAGCAGAGGGGGCACATCATGGTACCTCCATGTCCCACTGACCCTCTGTTCTGCGCTCACCACAGGCCTGGCCAGCCCATCTGACACCTTCAGTGTCTTCTATGGTGAGAGGAGCCCATGGTGTGAGTATCTGTGTGTCCACTGCCCTGTCCTTGGCTCTCCTGGGTGTTGGGGCACTGATGCTATCCCAGGCTTTCTGCTCAACCCTTCCCTCTGCACCAACTGCTGCAGGGATAAAGGTGAAGTGCATGGGTAGCCCTGGGCATGGGTCCCGCTTCATCAGCAACACAGCGGCTGAGAAGATGGTAAGAGAGGGGGTACCCCCTTTGCACCCCCCATGCCTGCCCTGGGCTGCCAGGCCCCTGCCCACGGGGCTGGTCCTCACCTGCTGTCCTTCCCTCCCCAGCACAAAGTCATCAACTCCTTCCTGGCCTTCAGGGAGAGCGAGAAGCAGAGGTAGGAGATGGGCAGCAGGATGGCAGTGGCTTAGTTCAGTCCATGAAGGGAGCCTTTGGCATCCCAAGCCAAGCCGTGATCTGGTGCTGCTGCTCTGTGCCTCAGTTTCCCCATTTTGGGTGATGGCATGGTAGGGAAGCGCTTCTCCCCGGGTGGCAGATAGTGACTGTCCCTTGCATCCCCCAAGGCTCAAGTCCGACTCAAGCCTGACCCTGGGGGATGTCACTTCTCTCAACATGACCATGCTGGAGGGGGGTGTCTCCTTCAACGTGGTGCCCTCTGAGATGGCCGCCGGCTTTGACATCCGCATCCCACCCACCGTGGACCTGAAGGTGGGCACCATGCCAGCCCCACCCAGGAGAGGTCTGGGATGAGGGTGACCTGCTCACACCCCTCCTCTGGTCTCTGCCCTAGGCCTTTGAGGAGCAGGTGACCACATGGTGCCGCGATGCTGGGGAAGGTGTCACCTGTGAGTTCCACCAGGTGAGGGATCTCAGCTGCCTGGCATATCGTGGCTATCCCTCTCCTTCTTTATTATCCCTTCATCTGCCCTCTCCCTCTTGTCAGAAATGCATGGACCAACACATCACCTCCACTGAGGAGTCAGACCCATGGTGGAAGGCCTTCAGTGGGGTCTGTAGGGACATGTAAGTACTGTCCCTAGGAAGGGCAAGACCCTGGCAGGGACATCCTCTGGTTGAGGCCAGGTGGCCCCTGAGGGTCTATGAAATCACGTCAGGGGCTGGGATGGGGAGCCCTGTGATTTGCCAAAGCATGTCCCTCCAAAAGGGATGGGACTGAGTGTCCCTGTGGGGCTGAGGGATGTCCTGGCACAGTCTCGTTGCCCATGGGGTGTGAGTAGGACAGGGAACCTGGCTGGCCCTGTGTCCATGCTGACACAGGGTCTCCCTTGACAGGAAGCTGCAGCTCAAGCTCGAGATCTTCCCGGCTGCCACTGACAGCCGCTACATCCGAGCGGTGAGTGTGATGCCAGATGCCACAGGTCCCTCACCTGGGGTGAGACCTGCGGCCCCAGCAGGACCTATGTCCAGGTGAAAGGGGGCATGTGGTGCCATGCTAGCTCTGACCTCATTCTGTGTCTCCCCATCTCCAGGCAGGACACCCTGCTATTGGCTTTTCACCCATGAACCGCACCCCGGTGCTGCTCCATGACCACAACGAGTTCTTGAATGAGCAAGTCTTCCTGCGGGGCATCGAGATCTACGCCCGCCTCCTGACTGCCCTGGCCTCAGTGCCCCCGCTGCCCTCCGAGGGCTGAGTGCCTGGCGAGGGGCAGGGAGTGCCAAGCAGAGAGACCTAAGGCTTTAAAAAGAGGGACAGGGGCTGGGCAGAGCAAATACCTGCTGCAGTGCTGGGGATGTGGATGGCATCATGCCATGTTGGCTGTGCTCAGGGCTGGCCTGATGGTGACACCCACAGGGTTGTGTTCCCCTTGGTCATGTGCCAGTAGAGCCTCATGCCCAGGTGCCTCCAGCCTTCCTGGTGTTGTCAGTGCCTCCCCTTCTCCCTGTGCCATCTCTGGCTGCACTGGCTGGGTGGTGAGGGGCTGGCCAGTGCCCCACTCTGTCTCCCTATGCCTTGCCCTGCCTCCCTGCCTGCTTGCCGGGGGAGATGGGCCAGTGCTGCCCACTCTATCAATAAATCTCCTCGGTAAGCACAGCCTGGAGTGGGGCAGTCTGTCTGTCTGTCTGTCCATGATGGTGCTACCCACGGGGTCTCACCCAGGCACTGCGGATTTCCTGGTGCAGTGTGGTTTGCTGGGATGCATCTGCTCCCCTGGGCTCTTTGCCTGCATGACAGCAGTGCGGGCAGGATCCTGCCCGGGCAGGCTGAGGGCCTCTGCTCCCGATCAGCCTCGGGGGCCTGGCGCTGGGGCTCATCCTGCTCCTCCCTCCTTCCCTCCAGAGCTTCTGCCGCTTCCATGGACCCTCTGGTCAGGGCAGGCAGCATGCGGGTCTGGGCAGGCACCTCTGCTCACCTGCCCGGGCTGCCATCGGCTGCACCTCCTCCTTGCTCGTTCCCAGCCCTGTGTGGCTCCCAGCGCCCTGGGGTGTGGGATCTGTCCCAGCCATGCGGCTTCTTGGGGAAACCAAGGGCCCGCTGAGCGAATTGGGGTGGTTTTACACTGCTCAGGGAGACTTCCACAGCTGCTCCATTACAAAAGGATGGGGGTGAGACAGGGGCCTCCAGCCTCCTGACCTCTTTTAATTAAGAAAGCTGCTGGAACCCTTATGGGGACTGGGGATAATGAAGATGCCCCATGCCGGGCTGGGAGAAGAGATGAGGCTGGTGGTGATGAAGCACTGAGGGAGAAGCCAGCAGCTCTCCACTCCTTCCCCTCCATCCAGTGCAGAGGGAAGTCCAGCATTTTTGGATGCAGGACACACTTGCTGTGTGATGAGGATCCCAGGGGAAGCTGGCGTGGATTCTCTGAGGTTTCATACAACCACATCCCATGAGCCAGCAGCCCTGGGGGAGGATGGCATGGGAGAGGTGTGGGTACCGTGGGGTCCTTGCTGGCCAGGATCCTTGTCCAGGGTGTTGGCACCTTTGCAGGCAGACAGCAGTGCCTCCCCTGCCCTGTCGGTGTGCCAGGGCTACCTGTGGCATCCTATGCCCCCCTCGACCCTACTCAGTCCCTTTCCCAGCTGCTGCTGTCCCCAGCTTGCCTGGCACTGAGATGGGACCTGGCAGCTATGTGCGTGCTGATGCTGGGAGATCACACCACGCTGAGCATCCTGCTCGGGAGGCTGATCTGTGTGCCCTCTCCTATCTCCTACCAGAGCTTCCCTCCCTTGCCCCCCATCCTCAGGGATGAGCCAGAGGTGCTGGAGGGTCACTTCTGGGGAAGGGGACTGCAGTAAGGTCTAAAGCTTTGCTGGCAGGGGACATTTTGGGGTGTGCGGCGTTCTCAGGGTCCCCCCGGGAGATGGGGCCGTCCCCCCGCGCATCCCCCGCGCCCAGGGATGGGGCATGGCCGGGCCGGGGCGGGTCGGGGCGGGCCGGGGGCGGTCGGATGTCGGCCCCATAAAAGCTCGGTGCCACCGGCGGCCGAGGGCGCGGCGGCGGGATGCGGGCGGCGGTGGCGGTGTCGCTGTCGCTGTGCTGGCTCTGGGCGGCGGGGCACAGCCTGCCCCGGCTCCGCCTGTCCTACCGCGGTGAGCCGGGCCGGGGGCACCTGCTGCGGGACGGGGAAGGGGGGCTGTCCCCGGAGGGCTGTCCTCAGGGTCCCCCCTCCTGGGACCGGCTGGGGGCTTGGGGAGCCTCAGCTGCGAGCGCTGCACCCAAGCGCGGCTGTGTTGGTGCGGTTGGTGGGCAAATTGTGCTGGGGCTCGGGCTGGGCTGGGTTTCGGTGGGTGGCTGCCCGGCACCCTCCTCTCCCCACGCGGGACGTAGGGGACCCCGAGGAGAAGGAGGAGAGGAGCCGGGTGACGGGGACAGGGGATGTGCCGCCGGGCTCCGCGCCAGCCCCGCCGCTTCCCATGGGGGATCGTCTCCCACGCGGCGTGCAGGGAAACTGAGGCACGGCGGTGTTCTGGCCCCGGCACGCTTTGGCTCGTGTGTCGGGTGGGTGCTGCGGTGCGTGGGTGGTCCCCCGGCGTGGTGGGTGCTCAGCATCCTGCACTGGGCTGCGTGGGCCCCGTGGCGCTGGGGTGCGGGTGCTGGGGTACCGGGGCCCCTCGGGGGCTGCGGGGGCAGTGCTTGGTTTTAATTAAAACTCTCCCTGTCATCCTGCTCTGGCTCGCCGCATCCCCCGCTCTGCCAACCTAATCCATGGGCTGCTCCAGCCAAACTTGACAGAGCCTGGTGTGCCCCAATCTCCTTCTGGCCTCACAGCAATGAACCTGCTCTAAAAAATTCAACATAAAATAAATTGCATCATGTATATCTTCCCCCTTCCTTCCCAGAAGGGGGAAAGACCTGGGCAGCCCAGAACTTCCAGAGCCTTGGGAGCTGCAGTGGCAGGGAGAGTGTGTTCCTCTGCTGCCTGGGCTGGGGGTTCCTGGGTTTGGCTGCATCCTTTGCTCTGTCCTTGGGCACGGTAGGTGACCCCAGGAGCTGACTCGCTGTTGAAAGGGAAACTGAGGCACACAGTGCCCCCCCATCCCCTCATCCTGGGAGCCCGGGATGGCTCCTGGCTCTGCCCCATGATGTGATCCGGTGTCCTCAGGTTGGCCTTGGCAGCAGGGAGAGGAGATCTGAGGTCTCAGCAGGGGTGAATCGTGGGGCTCAGTGTCTGGCTCAGTGTCTGATCCACTCCAGCACAAAGTCCAGCCGTGCAGGGCCGTTTCCCAGGTGTGAGGAGCTGCCTGGGGCAGGGTGGAAGCTCCTCAGCTCCTCAGCTTCCCACGGAGAGAGAGCCACCTTTGGAAGCTTTATTCTTTTTTTTTTTTTTTTTTTTTTTTCTTAAGTTGTTTTTTTTTTTTTTTTTCCAAATTGGAAACAGCAACTGAAATTTCCCATGAAAAAATTCTGCCACCGCCTTCTCCCTGGGGGAAGAAAAAAAAGAGAAAATTTCAATTAAAGACATTAGAGTCTCTGAAATTAAAACCAGGGTGAGCTGAAGCTGTTTGTGCAGAGCTCCTTGACCTAGGCTCTGCATGGCTGCTGGCTCTGGCTGTGAGGTGACTTTGTGAGGTGACAGGGACAGGCGTTGTGCTGTGGGTGCAATGGTGGCCATGCACCCAGCTCTCCCTCACACTTCAAGCCACCCTTTTCCTTTTGTTTCGACTTCCAGAGGTGGCTCATGTGAGAGGGGAAAGAGCATTTTGCTGTTGTGAGGACCAGAAGCATTGCCCTGTGCTCTTTGCTGTCCCTCCCAAGGGACCCCCACCCTGGGGAAAAGGTGTCCCAGGGCTGGATGGGGCATGGCAAAGGGCTGTTCCCTGGGGAGCTGGAGAGGAAGGCACCCTAAGCCAGTGTAACCTGAGGTGCAGGAGGAATTCGCCAGGCCTGGGGGAGAAGGGGAAGCCTTGCCTGAAACAATAAAAGGAGCCTGCCGACTTTGTCAGTGTTGTTTTGAGCTGGGAAAATATTATTGCTGGGCAAGAATAGAAGGAGACGACAGCGTTTTCCTGGGCTGGACCTGGCAATATGGGAGGACCTGATGCTGGGAGGACACAGGGAGGAGGGTGCCAGACTGGGTGGAGGGACCACCACTGCCTGGAGCCAGCTCTGCTTGCAAGCACAGACGCCTTGCAACGCCTGTGGGATGGAGCATTGGGGATGGAGGGATGGGGCTGGAGCTGCTGGGGCTGTATCCCCCATGTCACTGGCATCACCAGTTAGGGTACTGGGACTGTCCTTGAGCAGCGATCGGGTGTGTGGTGGGGTGAAAGTGTCTGTTGTCCCCTGCTGGGGATGGGCCTTGCCTCTCTTGCAGGGCCTAGAATTCGTTTCCCAGAAGGGGGCATTATGTCGCTGGCCACCTCCTTGCTGGAAGTGACAAATGTCCCCCCAGCAACAGCAGGACTTGGTAGCCCAGTGTCCTGACTGGATTTGTCCCAGCACCACCTCCCCTCTTCTGGGAACATATATGGGAGATGCTTGGGCTGGGTTTTTCCCTGGGGTCAGCAGCAGTGGCTGGCACTCTTCCGGGCTGGAGGGTGTTTGGGGACAGAGCTGTGCTCATCAATGGTGCTTTGTCCTCCTCCTTTGTCTGGCAGGCACAGAGGCCTGGCCTGGGGTCAGGATGGGTTCTCAGAGCCCTGTGAAGCTGAGCCATTCCCTCTGGCCCTCTCCCTCTGGCAGCTGTGGCAGCTCTGTGGGCACCACTGTGCCGGCTTGATGACCATGAAAGTAATTTCCCACTGGAAACCAGTCGAGCCACTGCCCCTGTGTTGTCTCCACTGTGAGGGTTCCCTTGGCATTGCACGAGATTCAGGCTTGGACTTGCTCTGGGGGCTTTGACTGCTAGACCCTGTTGTTTGGGATGTGATGGCCATCCCAGGGATGCAGCCTGTCCATCCCTGGGATAACCCCATACTGGTGTCTCTCCCCAAGTGCCTTGTCTATCCCATGGAGGAAGCCTTCCTGCCAGTGAGTTCTGGTGGCAGTGGCAGCAGTGGGCTTTGTGTGGCAGTTTCCCCATGGCACTGGCTGGGCGCCTGCTATTGTGTCCTTGGCTGGCACCCAGCAGGGACAGGACCTGCTTTCTGCCCACCCCGTGTCCGGTCTCACCACCCTCCCAGCTCTGTGTGAGCCCAGCTTGCTGTGGCACAGCCTCAGTAGGAGTCTGGGGGTGGTTCAGCCAAACCTTGCTGGGGGTGGCAACCTTTCCTGGGACCCTATTGCTGATTGTTGGCTCTGTAGCTTTGTCCTTGGCTGGCAGGGAGGACAGCACTCCAGCCAGGTTGAGGTTGGAATGTCCATGCCTCCAGGAAGGGATGGAGACATGCTGCAGTCTGGAGTGGCTGTGAGCAGCTCTGCTGACTCCAAGACAACCCCATGATACTTGGAAGCAGCAGCTCAGAGGAACCCTTGGGGCTGGGATGGCTTCTGCTGATGCTTTCATCTCTTCTTGGCAGAGCTTTTAGGCACCAACCGCTCCGTCCTCTTCTTCGGTCACCGCGGCTTCCTGGGCTTCCGCTCCCTCTACCTGGATGAGTATCGTGACCGGCTCTTCATCGGGGGGAAGGATGTGCTCTACTCCCTGCTTCTGGATGGGGCCAGTGCAGATGCCAAGGAGGTGAGCTGGGTGCTGCCGAGCATCCTGCGGTGTCTCTCCCCACCCTGGCCCCCTGTGGACCTGCCCATGCCCAACTAGGCTGGACAAAGTCACTCTGAAACAAAATCTGCCCTGAGGATGGCCTCATCTTAAATACCTTGAAATGATTCCATAAACTTGTAATGCCTGGCAAGAGCAGGCTGGCTGCAGTGGCTGGAGGGAAATTAGCTGACAATTAGTTATGATCATCAGCCTAGGAGACTGGTGGTGCAGCTCACCAGTGATTCCTGGGTACTTGGTGGGAGAGGTGATGGACCAGAATGATGCTGCTGAGTGGTGGCTCCGCTCCTCTTTTACCCTCTCCACTTTGACTTTTTGTTTTTCAAACACGGCTCTGGGCTGTTTCTAGCTGAAGAAAGAGGAGGAGGAAATGAAGTGCCCCTCAGCGAGCTGGGTCACTGCAGTGGGGTCAAGGGCTTGTGTACCCAAGCTGCCCTCGGTCCAAGAGCTGCTAAAGGCTGTGGGGGACATGGACTCCATCACTCCTGCTGTCCCCTGGGCACCCTTTCCCCCAGCCACCCACAAGCCCACCCCTTCCAGCCATTCCCAGCACGACCACCCAAATCAGCCCAGCTGTGGGCTGTGACTGCTAGGATGTATCTCCCCTGGAGGAAGGGTTGTAGGGTGGGAGTCCTAGGCTGGGTGGGCTCCAGGGAGCTGTGGCCCATCTCTCTGTCCCTCTTTCTCCCTCTCTCTCTATCTGCTTGCCATTGGCAGCCTGGGGATGTGGATTTGCATGGCTGGTTCCCTGCTGTCCCCCCTCCCTGCTCCAACAGACCCTTTGTGTTCCAGATCTATTGGCCACCCCGCCCTGGGCAGACGGAGGAGTGTTTTCAGAAGGGGAAGGACCCAGGGGTAAGTCTCTCCCCATGTGTGCTCTGCTGTAAGCTGGGGGGTCCCAGATGGGTCCCCTTGTGCCAGATGGCTCCCCCCGTGTTGGGGCTGTGCCATGTCACCTGCCAGGGATGGCCCTGGGGCTCAGAAGCCAGTTAATCCTTGTGCAAGAGGGAAACTGAGGCAGGGAATCTGTGACCAGTCCTGACCACACAAAGAGGCTTGCTCCAGGCTCTGGAAATCCTGTCCTAGTTGCTCTGCTCTGTGGCCACAGAGTGGTGGCCAGTGTGTCCCAATGTGGCTGCACGAGCAGGCAGGGATAGCTGGGCTCTGGCACCAGAGCTTGGAGGGACCAAAACCCCCATGCTCTGCTCCAGACCCCAGCAACACTGCCTGGCCTATCCTGGCTATGCCTGATGGTGGGAATCTGTAACTGGCTCAGGTTTGGTGACCTTGTTCCCTAAACCTTACCCCTCTTTGCATCCCCCTGCCCCGATATGAAACAGGACTGTGGCGGGGAGAAAGTCCCCAGGGCTCCCCTGGCCCAGACAAATTGCTCCCAGGAGTCCCTGTTCTGCTCTCTGTGTTTATTTTACCAGCTCTCACCGACAGATCCAAGCCAGGGCAGACTCAACTTTTTATTTTTCTTGAACATATATGTTTTTTCACTTGCTATTTTAGAGGCTCTTTGCAAAGGGAAAATAAACAGCAGGAGGCTGGGAACCCCCGGGGCGGCTCGGCAGCGGTGTTCCCAGCAGATGAGGGGCCTCGCATCCCGCTGTGGAGGGGACAATGGAGGGCAGGCAGGGCTGGCGCTGGCCAGGGGGAGCTGCCAACTAATGGTGGAGAAGGATGGGAGCCCTTTTCCAATGGGAACTGCCAGGAGAGAATGCACAAAGTCAGAGGTGGCAGGTCTCCAGCCCTGGGAATGTCATGGCTGCCGTCCCTCAGAGAAGGGGATAATTCCAGACAGCAGCGACCAGGACTGTGCTGGAGGCAGCCCAGGATGACTGTGGGTCTCTGTCTCTGTCTCCACTGTTTCCTCCTTTTGTTTCATCCCTGGCGTAAGCAGGAACATGATGGGGAAGGATGTCTCTGCATCTGGTCACGTCCTGGGTGCCGGGGGTTTGGGGCAGGGTTTGCAGCTTGTAGTGACATTGCTCCCCTGGCCAGCATGGACCGTGCCACAGGGTGAGTGCACAGGTGCCTGTGGGCAGGTGGCAGCTGGATCCTGTGTGGTTCCCCTGGGATGCTCTTGGCAGCAGGAGGACCAGTAAAAAGCCCTGTTGTTTTGCAATGGACTGGGGTCCACCCAGATGCAGTGGGCACAAGCTGCCACCCCAGATCCCTGGCACCAGGCTGGAGGCAGTGAGGCTGGGGGGGAGCCCAGGGAGCCAGGGCTGGGGCTCACCCACTGTTGTGGGGTCCCAGGCAGAGGCAGGGAGCTGGAGTGGGCAAAGCACCAATACCTGGTGACCCTTTCTCTCCCCTGCTGTCCCCCAGACTGACTGTGCCAACTACGTCCGTGTGCTGCATCCCTACAACCGGACACACTTGCTGGCCTGCGGGACAGGCGCCTTCCACCCCATGTGCACCTTCATCTACGTGGGGTACCGTGGCGAGGTAGGGCAGCATCCCCAGCTGGGCACCCCTGGAATATAGATCCCCATTGCCTGCCTCTCTCCTGAGGGGCCTTGGGGCTGCATGGGGACACTGGATGTGCAGTTTGCTCTAACCTGGATACTGGATACTGGTGGGGGGGGGAATGTCAGGAAGCAGCTCCTTGTTGTCCCTTAGTCCTTCTGCTACCCCCTGTCCATCTTTCCCGCCTGTCTGCCTTGGGATCCCCTTTATAGACATGTCCCCAGGGGCTGGTGTCCTGCCAGGGGCTGAGGCAGGGTGGCATTTTCTCCTCTCCAGCTCACTACTCATAAATCTAGCTGGCTGGGGTGGAATGGCAGGACACCCCTCAGAGTCCTTCACACAGCCTGGCCCTGTTTGGGCAGCAGGAGCCCTGTCTGTACCATGATGACTCTGACCAGGCAGGCGGGTAAGCAGCGGGGATGGTGGATCCCCTTCAGCTGCTGTGCACCCTCATGGTCTCAGTCTTGCTTTAGAGCCTATCCAAGATGGTCCTTTGGGTGCACTGAGCGAGGTGCAAGTTGGGCAGGGACCAGAGCTGTCCCCTGCATGGCTGGGCACAGCCCAGGGCTCATCTGCCTGCTCCCCTCCCCAGCACACCTTCAGCCTGGACCCTGCCAGCGTGGAGACCGGCCGGGGCAGGTGCCCACACGAGCCCAGCCGTGCTTTCGCCAGCACCGTCATCGGTGGGTTGTCTTCCTCAGGATGTGGGAGCCCCTGGGGTGTGTCCCAGGGATGGTCCCCGTGCCAGCTGGGTGTTTTTGCAGGTGGGGAGCTGTACGCTGGCCTCACAGCAGATTTCCTGGGACGCGATCCTGGTGTTTTCCGCAGCATGGGGACCCGCTCCGCCCTACGCACAGAGGTGGACCAGCGCTTACTGCACGGTAACAGCTTCCCTCTGCCCCTCCATTTCCCCCAGCAGGGCTAATGCCACAAACCTTATGGTGGCCAGAGCATCTGTGACCATGGTCCAGCATCCCCCATGCCAGCTAAGAGCAGGGAAAGGCACCAGGGCAGCAAGGTCTGGGGGTGGTCCTGGCTGGCATCCAGCCCCAGCATGGACTGGGGTCTGGAGGTGCTGGCTGTGCCCTCTCTCCCCACCTGACATGACCAGCTCTTGCTTGTAGATCCCAAATTTGTGGCAGCCCACTTGATCCCAGACAACGATGACCGGGACAATGACAAAGCCTATTTCTTCTTCACGGAGAAGGTGGTGGAGGCAGACAGCAAGGAGCACGCCATTGTCAGCCGTGTGGGGCGTGTCTGCGTGGTAAGATACTGGTGTGGACCGTGGGGGATAGGGATGCATCAAGTCACAGCAGTGGCCCTGATCCCTGGTACTCCCTGTCCCTGCAGAATGATGCTGGTGGCCAGAGGGTGCTGGTCAACAAGTGGAGTACATTCAACAAGGCCCGGCTGGTGTGCTCAGTTCCCGGCCCTGGTGGCATCGACACCTACTTTGATGAGCTGGGTAAGGTGTGCATGGAGCTGTATCTCACTGTGGCTAGTCACTTAGATGGATTTCAGGAAAAAAAACATGCTTTCATTTCCAGAGGATGTCTTCTTGCTGAGGACAAAGGATGGGAAGAGCCCGGAGATCTATGCCCTTTTCAGCACCGTCAGGTGGGTGGTCCAGCTCCAGCCTCTGGGGACATCCAGCTGCAGCTGCCCATGACCTACCCTGTCACTGTCACCAAGGGTTGCTGGCTGCTGTCCTGGTCTTTTGGGGATGTTGGTGCCCCTACTGCCAGCAGTGCCAAGCATGGCTCTGCTCAACTCACTCTGTGTCCCCTTGCAGCCACGTTTTCCAGGGCTCTGCTGTCTGTGTGTACCGCATGGCAGATATCCGGGAGGTCTTCAACGGGCCCTTTGCCCACCGAGAGAGCCCCCACCACCAGTGGGGTGCCTACGAGGGCAGGGTGCCCTACCCGCGGCCAGGCGTGGTGAGTGACTCCCTGGAGCTCCAGGTCCGCTCCGCTCCTCCAGCTGCTCTTCTGGGGTGGTGATGGAGCCATCCCCCATCTTCTCAGCTCCTGGAGAGGTCAGCTGGTGCTTTGCCAAGGTCTAGCAAAGGGGTGGAAAACATGAGTGACAAACTGGAAGGCAGAAAAGGACCCAAAACAGTTCTGAGGGGTGATGGAGGGGGAAGGAGTGATGGGTCCTGGGGTGGCTGGGCTGAGCTGGTCCTCTCTTGTCCTTGCAGTGTCCCAGCAAGACCACCAACCAGCCCCGGCGGCAGTACAGCACCACCAAGGACTTCCCTGACGAGGTGCTGCACTTTGCCCGCGCTCACCCCCTCATGTACAAGCCCGTGTACCCCCGGCACCGCCGGCCCCTCCTTGTGAAGACTGATCTGCCCCACCGGCTGCGCCAGCTCGTGGTGGACAGGGTGGAGGCCGAGGATGGGCAGCACGACATCCTCTTCCTCGGCACAGGTGAGCAGCAGGAACAGAGTGCAGGAAGGAGCTGCAGAGCTGGGGGTCCCAGCAGTCAGCCCCCTGGGCTGTGAGATGCAGGGTGCTCACACCTCCATCCTCCTCGGCCCCCAGATGCTGGCTCGGTGTTGAAGGTGGTGGTCATGCAGAAAACAAGCTCAGCCATGACTGAAGAAATCATCCTGGAGGAGCTGCAGGTTTTTAAGGTGACATTTACTGCCCCACTTGCAAGGGAGAGGGCAGTGGGGTGGGCTCAGGTTGGGGACACATGTGGGGATGGAGGGTAAGAGTTGTCACTGCATTGTTGGTCACTGGAAGGTCTCGGGGCTGTGAGGGCAGAGGCTGGCTGGGGGTATTTTCACCCTCCTCAAAACATTCCTGATGCTCCACCAAGCCCTGGTGGCTCTGAATGAGCCAGGCTGACTGTGAGGATTATGCCAGCCTGATGCCCACTCCCCTCCCCTACAGATGCCTGTGCCCATCACCCAGATGGAGATCTCTGTCAAGCGTGTGAGTACAGACACGGCTCAGTCACGGGGCTGGGACTGGGCAGGTGACCAGCTGTGGTCACCAGCCTCCTAAAGCCTTGTGATGCATGCCCTGGGGTGTCCTGGCTGGGCCCCTAGGCGCCAAGCCCATGGGGGTTGCCAACATCACCCCTTGGTGCTGTTCCCCCAGCAAACGCTCTACGTGGGCTCCAGCTTAGGGGTGGCCCAGGTACGGCTGCACCAGTGTGAGTCCTATGGCACTGCTTGTGCCGAGTGCTGCCTGGCCAGGGATCCCTACTGTGCCTGGGATGGCACTGCCTGCACCCACTACCAGCCCTCCGGCAAGCGCCGCCATCGCCGCCAGGACGCCCACCATGGCAACCCTGCACACCAGTGTCTGGACCAGAACCTGACTGGTGAGAGACTGGGGGCCACAGGGCTGAGGGGCTCCTCCAAATGCCCCAAGGTGGCCTGACATGCACAGCCCTAGCACACAGAGGGGCTTGTGGCCATTCCATGTGGGCACCCTCATCTGCCCATCTCATAGACCAGGGCGTGCCCCAAGAGAAGGTGGGTGCTGCTGGGGCTGGGTCTGGCCACTGGGAGAGAAGGGGATGAAGGCACACAATGGTCAAGAGGGGCTGACACCTGGGCAGGTGGAAACCTGGCTCTGCACTCCCTGCAAACCCGTGCCTGTCTTTGCCCTAGTGGACGATTTTGAGAGCGTTGAGGAGAAGGTGCTTTATGGGGCAGAGGACAACAGCACCTTCCTGGAGTGCGTGCCCCGGTCCCCGCAGGCCAGCGTGCAGTGGTTTGTCCAGAGGCCCCCTGACGAGCAGCGGGATGAGGTGAGGCTCCCCTGCACCTGCTCCCGTTGTGGGGACATGGGAGAGATGTCGGGCCAGACCTGGACCCTCCCAACCCCACGGTGGTCCACAGGTGAAGACGGACGAGCGGATCCTGCAGACGGAGCACGGGCTGCTTTTCCGCAAGCTGCACCGGCACGACGCCGGCATCTACTACTGCAAAACGCTGGAGCACGGCTTCACCCAGACCGTGGCCAAGACTGCCCTGCACGTGATCGCCAGCGAGCAGCTGGCACACACCTTCCCCCGGGGGCGAGGGGATGAGCTCCCTCACCTGCTCTGCCCTGAGCCCCAGCTGGTGCCACAGGCTCCCAAAACCTGGTTCAAGGACATCATGCACCTCATCAGCTCCCAAAACCCACGGCGGGTGGAGGAGTACTGCGCCCGCCTCTGGTGCAGCAGCCGTCCTCACCACCGCAAGAGCAAACTGGCCCAGGCCAAGCTGGTCCTGGCTGGTGTGGATGTGGCCAAGAAGGGACGGACAGCCAAAGCCCACAGCGAGAGGAACCGTGTGCCCCGGCAAGCACCGGCCACTTAGAGAGAGCAGGGTAATGGACGTGGGGCAGCCGTGGGCAGGTACCAGCTCCCTGTGCTGCTGCTAGCCCTGGGGGCCTCTTGACTTGGTGGGTGGCTTGCAGTGCTGCCAGCCTGGTCCCCTGGCTGGAGTGGATGGGCAGGTCCCTGTCACCCTCAGTGTCTGCAGGGTCACCTCACAAACAGGCAATGAGGTGGGACACATTGGCCCCCCCTTGCTCTTGCAGGTGGTGCATCAGTGGGGGCTGGCTGTAGTCCTGGGTGGGCTGGGGCACAGTGGCACGGTGCCACCCAGGCCAGGCTGTCACCCAGATGCTGCCTGGATCCCTCCGTGAATACTGTAGCCGTGTGTGGTGCCGTGGGGAGCGGCTGATGGCTCCAGGCTCTTTCCACACCAGCACAGAGCCCGAGGAAGATGATGCCTGCTCATATGGGGGAAAGCCAGCATCATCCCAAAAAGCCTCTGTGTGCAGGAGGAGCTCTGTCACCTGCTGTGCCTGGGGAGCCAGAGCTGTGCTGTGCCACCCAAGGTGTATCCTGGGGGACATGGCTCCTTCCTACCTTCCCCTGGCACTGGGACACACTCAGCAGTGCCAGCTGTGGGTGCAGCTGCCCACTTCCCCTCTCTCTGCCCCACAGCCACAGTTTTAGGGCCGGACAGGGTTGGGGAGAAAAGCAAACGGCTGCAAGCAGGTTAGACCTGTTCCTGGGTAAACACTGTGAGAGGCACTAACGCCACCGCTGCCACTGTGCCCAGGTGGGAGCAGGGACAGGCAGAAGGCAGCCCCAGCAGAGTTTGGGGGGCTGCGCCACACCTGGGATGGTTTCTGCTGGTTGGTGACCCTACAGGGCTGGGTGGGACATGGCTGGTTTGGGTGGGCTCCTGCTGCCTGGCAGAGCTAAACCAGCACCCAGGGCCTCCCCCAAACACAGGGGCTGGGGGTAGGTGCATGGAGGGTACCTCCAGGCTGCCAGCAAGGTGTTCCTTGCTTTCCTCACCCGACATGAGCTCACTCATGGTCAGCCCTGGGCTGATAAAGATCTGAGGCAGGGCAGCCCCACACAATGGTGTGAACCACGGCCCCACCGGGACGGGCATTGTTCAGGGCTGGAGGAACGGGAAAGAAAAAATAATAATAATAATAATTATAATTAAAAGGCCCTAAATAGCTCATACAAAGCCAGGTCGTGATATCATCTCTCCTCCCTGTGTGTTTGTGCTGCAGCAGCAGCTCCCTGGGAGCAAAGTCCCTCAGCAGCGCTGCCTCATCCCACGGAGATGGGCTGGGGGTCCTGGCCCTCTTCTCCTGCTCCCTGTCCCACCTCTCCTGCAAACTCCGTGTGTCTCCTGGGATGGGAGAGCTGTGGTTGGGCTGGCAGGCTGGCACATTTTCCGCAGGGAGGGGAGTGGTGCGGGTAGCGCTGGGGCCAGACAGGAGCCAAGCACGTGGATTTGGGTAATTGCAGGCCTGGGGGACACAGGTGAACAACAGCCAACAAGCAGAGACAAGGAGGGAGCTGGGTGAAAAGCCAGGAATGAGACAGGAGCCTGATTCCTCAGGGCCTGGATTAACCAGCTCTGCAGTGCTGCACAGAGCCGTGCGCCCTTCTGCCCCGAGTGCCCCACAGAGCAAGAGCGGCCTGAGGCTCTGCTGCCTTGGGGACCCGGCCTTGAGGTGAACTGTGACAGGCTGGAGGTGGCACCGGGGCCAACATTGAGCAGGAACAGAGAAGCAAGCAGTCACCTAAATGGTCCCCCATTTTGGGGGGGATTTTGTGCCTGCTCCCAGTAAATCTCTGGGGTGGCTGAACCCAGTCCTCCTGGGTACATTTACCATAAGGCTGCAGCAGGAGAGACTGTCAGGGCTGCACACAGCATTCTGCAGGCTTCCAGCCAACTGAGGCAACCTGCGTCCCGAGAAACTTCCAGGGGCTGAGCGACCACCAACACACCCTCCCGCAGCGGGGGTGGAAGGAGGCACCCCGGGCAGCCCCAGCACCCCGGTGTCTGCGGGGGAGCGACCCCTGCCCGGGGCAGGAGCGGCGTGAGGGGAGCGCCGGGCCGGGCCTGGGAACGGCCGGAGAACAAAGAGCTCCTATTTTTATCCCGCTTCCTAAGGAAGTGCAGCGCGGGGCCGCACGCTCGCCCCGGCAGCCTGCCAGCCCCCGGGGCGGCCAAAGGCAGCTGCTGGGCAGGTCAGGGCTGGCAGCAGCCCTCACAGCCCGGCACGCAGCTACAGAACCCCCGGGGCTGGAAGAGAGCCCCGAGATCTCCCCTGTGCCCGACACTGCCCTGTCACCGGACCGGCCAGCCTTGCCCCGAACTCCTCCAGGGACAGTGGCCCCACACCTCCCCGAGCAGCCTGTTCCAATGCCTGATCACCTCTGCCGTGATGAAATCCTTCCTGATGTCCAGCACGAACCTCCCTCGCTGCAGCTTATGACTGCGCGCCTCTCATCTCGTCTTTAGCTGCTTGGGAGGAGAGGCTGGGCGGTACAGCCCCTCACCAACAGGACAGGCTGCTGAGCCTGAGCCCCATCATCATCCCCAAACAACCCCACAGACAAACAACACAACCCCACCAGGCAGATGCACCCATACTATTTTTCCTGCTATTTCTTTCCCCCAACATGCAGATTTTCAGAGCCCCTGTTACGAGTACTAGACATCCAACAGCCCTGGCTGTTGCAAATTCCGGCAGAGACCTCCGCCCCCAGCAGTGCTGTGAAGTGTTACAGTGAGCACATCGTCCTTGAGGCACAGGGGCAGAACAGAACTCTGCACTCGAATATTCGAGTACCACAATGAAGTATTCAAAGTATTCGAGTACCACAATGTCTAGAGAATTACAAGCATAAAGTTGACAACCGTGTGTGAATAGCTAAATTCCCCAGACAATAAAGGAAAGTAGCAGCATACAGTGAGGAAAGGGAGACAAGAGAGGCTGGAAATCAGTCACCAGAAAACACAGAGGAGTGAGATGTGACAAACCCTATTGCTTTAGAGGTAATAAACTCTGGACATCCATCCTTCCTGCACATGCTATGCCAGAAAGAATGTGAAAAACACGTGCACTCTCCTGTGAAAATTTAAAGTTTAATGGAGGACAATAGAAGACAAAGACCATAAAACAAAGATTTTTATGGCCAGGTGTGTCTTAGCCAAAAGCACACCTGCTAGCTTGGAAACACCCCTTATACACCATTTGCCATGGCATCAGCCTGTTACATATTCATAAGCAATTATGCATAGTAAACTTTTCCTCAAGTTATTTTACATATTCCAAGAACTGTTTAGCATGGCTCCACCTCGGTTCCACCTTTTTAGAGCACGCGTATTCCTTGGTTGTGGTTTTAGTTGTTTTTTATCATCACCTGCAGTTTCTGGTCCGCGGCCCGCAGTGCGCTCAGAGGGTGAGTGCTGATGGTTGGCAGATCTGTACAGGTGTCCTCATCCTGTGTCCACTGGCTGTTATCCCACCCAACCAGGCATTCTAACACAAGCATACTTACATCACCTGTTTCACCCAGCTTAATTAACCACAGAAATAAAACCCGTATCTTTACAACAAGGGTAGTTTAGCACCACACAAGCGAAATGCACTCTGCAAAGCCAACTTTATAACAGGTATCGAGAGCAGGGACAGCGCCGCGCGCCGCGGGCAGCAGCCGCGGCAGCGTTCCCGGGCTCTGCGCGCGCCCCGTGACGTCACCGCGCCGTGACGCACGGCCGCGAGCGACGGCGGGGCCCGCGGTGGGGCCGGACATGGCGGCGCGGCCCGGCCCGCGGGAAGATGAATAAGGGCTGGCTGGAGCTGGAGAGCGACCCCGGTGAGCGCCGGCACCGCGCCGCACCGCGGCGGGGGCGGGCCGAGCACAGCCCGGGGCTCCCGGGGACACACGGGCAGCGCGGCCTGGCTGGGGGGACGTGGGGGACGGGTGAGGGAGGCTGCAAGGGGCAGCCTGGGGGTGGTTGTGGTGCACGGGTGGAGCTTTGGGGGTTGGATTTGTGGTGCACGGGTGGAGTTTTGGGGGGGCTGGGGATGGGAGGGGAGCTGGTGAAGTTTGGAGGGGCTGCGGGTAAGGGGCGTGCAGGTGAAGTTTTGGGGGGCTGCGGGTGCATCGGTGAAGTTGTGGCGGTGTGGGTGTACAGGTGGAGCTTTGGGGACTGAGATGTGGGGTGCAGGCCTAGAGTACGGGGGTGCAGGAGAGGTCGGCATGGGGAAGCTGGGAGCAGGACGGTCACGGGTGTCCCCGGCCGCTGCCTTGGGGTGGCTTCTGTGGTGGAATGATGGAGTTGTTTCGTGGGTCGGGATTTCAGGGCCAAAGCTGCCGTTGTTTGAAATGTTGCTTTAACCCTCTGAGTCACTGTAGTGTGGAATGGGATTGTCCTGTGCAAGGCTGGCAGCTGCTCTCTAGGATGGGGTGGTGAGTTTCTGGGGCTGTGGGTGAGGAAATGTGACTTCTGGAATTATCCTTGTCTCTTGCGCTCAGCAAAGGATTCTGTCTGGTGTTGGTGTCCCAGTCACCCTCAGTTTTGCTGCTCTTTATTCTCCTTACTGGTACTTGGAAAATGCTGAAATCATTCCCCTCCTGGCTTTCATCATGGCAAAAAGTCCCAGGACATGGTTTGGATTCTCACAGCTGGGAAGGAAGATTATTTGCCTGGGGGACAATCTGTCTGGGCAGAGGCAGTTTGGATGCAGGGGTGGCAGCTGGGACAGATGTTAGGAGTGATCATGTGCTGCTCTCAGCTTCCAGCACATCCCACTAGCTGAATATCTCCCCACTGGCTCTACTGGGGGCTTGGGGTGAAATCTCTGGGTACTCTGGTGGTCAGGAAGGGTTAGTGGATCCAGGTTTGGGCTGGCTGGGGAAGAGAGCCTTGGGGACATCCAGGCTGCTGGCATAGTGTTGTGTGTGCTTGTGGACATCAGAATGAGTCCAGCCCACACATAGAACATGGCATGGGTGTTGGAGTGTTCCAGGAGATGTGTCAGCAGCAGGACTGTGCCTTCTGTGCACGCTGAGGTAAAATGAAATACTGAAATATGCCAGAGAAAAAAGGGGTTGGAAGGGACCAGGAAGGTGATGGAGTTTGGTGTGATGGCCTGGCCTCACACTTGTTTGAAGCATGTTATTTCCACAGCATTTTTCTTCTCACTGACAATTTTGTGAGAAATATAGTGTTTTCT